ATGTCACAATCAATCTTAAGTTCTTGGAATAAGATACAAGATTCAACTCCAACGTTAAATAGGTTAAGAATAAAAATAACCCCCCACCCCCCCCCCCCCCCCACCCACACACACAAACAAATCAAATAAATGGCAACGTAGAGAATCACTGTTAAACTCAAATAACACCTCGGACCCACATAAAATTTCAGGAAAACTGCAGAAAAGAGCTCGAGGAAAGTGTATTAAAATATTTCATTTGAGTTTCCAAAGTATATAGAAATTATTAATTTATACAGAAAAAATTACAAATCCTGTCGTGTTTAAAATTAAAGTGCAGATGACCAAAGTTGGCATATAAGCCTTTTATAGCCTATTTATTCAGATGTCGTTAATAGCATTCGATTCTACTGATTTGAAATAATATTTTAATACCAAGCATCCTTTGTTAAATTTACCTTTGAAATTTATTTGAATTTTTTTTAGAATTACGCAATCCCCAGAAATAGCGATTTTCGGTATATTAAAAAATCAATATACATGTACGCTCCTTCGTAAAATAATCAGATATTTGCATTCATGAAAAAATATTAATAAGAAGGTGTTAAACAATATAGGTCATATTAGCTGACACGAATGTCTATTTAAACATCTCTTGTAAAACCCAGAGAGTAGCCCCCTATGCATTGGAAAAAATGAATAGTTCCGGTCAAAAAACCTTTATATATTTATTTACAAAGTATATAAAATTTACCAGGCACAGGTATCAGAGTTGTCAAAATGGCCTGAGAGGAAATATTTAAAAAAAATTCTGAACAGAAAGGAAAATCCCTTTTCCATGTATGGAACTACTATTGAATAAGTTCATTTTGATTGGTTAGGTATTGGCGTGATACCCTTAGTCGACTTTAACCCTGCCTTGTCGTCGGAATAAAACCAACTTTGAGCCCGAGGTTAAAATAAGTAGAGAAATAAAATGTGAATCGATATATAAAAAATATGACATATGCTTGAAAAATGGTAAATTTATATATGTATTTTTTTCTTTGATTCGCGGGATAGAAAGATATGTTAATCGCTTAATCAACATGCCATAATCATCTTGCATATGCATGTACATGTACATGTGCGCGCATGCAAAACGTTAAACAATATATCGTTGATAGTTGATATCATTGTAACTTCTATATTCTTAAATGAAATCTTGGGATACTTGGCATATTTATAAAAGGTCTTAGAGGAATAAGGCACGATAAGGGACATGGGGAGCGTTTGGGGAACATCTGTAACGGTCCCCGTTACAATTAGCACTAGTTATTATGTTCCCCAAACGAAGTTGGGGAACATATTGTTTTTACTCTGTTTCTTATTATTATTATTCTTATTATTAGGGTCTTCCGCTTCCTTCGGAAGACCCTACTGTTATTCTACTGTTTCTTATTATTATTTTATTTTTTTTTCCCGCTCGATTTTTGACAGGCGATTTCTCAAAGACCTTTGGACTGATTTTTATGAAACTTTCAGGTTAGATACCTTGTAATTAAACCTATTTACACCTGTTTTCAATTTTTTGATGCATGCCTTTAATTGTGAGTTATTGCCCTTTAATTGATAATTTTGATGTCTCGTTTCCACTAAAAATCTCAAGAACGACGTAAGATATTTACACGAAAGTTGGAGAACTTGTAGCCAATACATTGTAGATGTGCAGAACGATAAAATTATAAGCTGATTTCCTAAAGTTTGGAAGCTATAAAACGGCAAATTTTAGTAATTTTTTTTTCTTGAATTTTTGCTACTTTTTGTGTAATAACTTTTGAACCGAGAATAATTTGGTAAGAAATATATAACAAAAGTTGTGTGTAATTACGAGAGCTTTCATATTAGATTAATGAAAAGGGGCTGGCCCCTATAATTAGGGGTTAATAGCTCATACACGTTTTTTCTGATAGCTAAAAATATTGGTATATTATGAAAAAGTTTGACTGAAATAATTTCGAACTTATAAAATCTTGTCATTTGATATAAAAAGAAATAAACTTCCAGCTATATTTAATTGTTTTTTATATAAAACAAGTACATGTATATGAGAAACCTTTCAGGAACAAGTTGTCTACTATAGCCAGCCAAGCCTTTACTGCATACATGTATGTGCACATTTTTAGTTGATGCATCTAAAAGATATAGTTTTGATTCGGTGTTTCTTTGTTTTCTTTCTATTCAAATAATTTTAAAATGTGATGATTTACACAACAATAATTAGTACCTAGTTTAGAGGATTTTTTCGCGCTTGTTTGTAAACGGTGTCGAGTGGTTACGACCCGATTCCGTGTTCGACCCGCGTGGTAACGACCCAAGTGGTTTCGACCTACTTATATACATACAGGTAAATAGAGGGGTTCACACTATAAGGTATGGTGTATACCTTAGGTAAACACATGGTTACACGGTAGCTGTATGGCTTCAGGGAGGGATACGTGTCAATTATTGGTTGTCAACATTGAAGTCAATAGTAAACTTGAGATTGATTTTAGGACAAGGATGCAATTAATTTCATTTGAAATAAATTATAAATAATTTATAAATATTTTAACATTTTCCTTAAAAACTAATCAGCCCTTTGTGGGATAATATACGTAATAATAAATGGTTTAGATAAACATAATTATTTAGCAATATTTTTAATAATGAATAAAGAGTTACGATCGGTTTTAAACAAATCTGAATATTTTGAATTATACCCCCAAAAATGTTTTTAAACTATCGAAATTGTTTTCGGAACGAAACCACTTGGGTCAAAACAACGCGGGTCAAACAAGGAAAAGGGTCGAAACCACGCGGGTCGAACAAGGAATCGGGTCGTACCCACCCGCGCGGCATTGTGGGAAATAGGAAGGTACTAAAGACGCGATGTAGGGGAAAGTGCTGCTATTTCGGACGGGGGTGTTATTTCGGACAGTCAATAAAGAGCTTTATAACTTTTTCTCTTTTGTTATTTATTATGATATTAAAACTTCCTTCTGTAGATAACACATTTACAAAATGGTTTACAAAAAAAATCTTTGCGTGTGTCAAATCAGATGCGACTTGTTGCCATAAATAAATGACCTTCACCGACTGTGCTGTGGATGACGCTAATATCCGTCTACTTTCAGTTTGACAGGCAAAATGGTGCACGGTTGAGATAATTGGTTTTTTGCTAAAAATTATGTATATAAATTATAAATGTGAATAAATTCCATTTAAATAATTATTTTCTTCAATATTTCATAAAGAATTATCTTGTAAATGGAAATAATTAACCGAAATTGAGGTGTCCGGAATTACAACACCTCTCTGAGAGACAGAAAACGTGACTAAAATTTGACCCATTACTGGCATTAGACCTTTTATATATTTTGATAAACTTACATTACTGACCATAGCTTGGGGGTTTTTTTTTACTTAAAAACATTTAAAACGAACTTTTAAAATGATTGTGTTTTTTTTTCAGTTGTTTTTAAAAAGTGGGGGGGGTGGGGGGGTGGGGGGTGGTAAAGAGAGAGAGAAAGAGAAAGAGAGGGAAGATCGACTCTAAATCTGCCAGTGTAACATACCTGTACAGGTGTTCAGTGCTTAATATTTTTAAAGCCTTCTACTTACAAAGTTCAGATCATTTAATTTAAACAAAAAAAAAAAATAAATGAAAATTACGTATCCCCTTTAATTATCATGATTATTCTATTCAATTTATTGTTTTTAAAAAAAATAAGCTAACATGCAACGTAATGTCACTTAGATGTTCATTTGCAATGGGTTTCCCAGACACTATACATTTTTTTATGTATTACAGTTCCACAAAAACAAAAACGTCACCCCCAAATTAAATTTGAAAAAAAAAAGTCGTTTGGAATAAAATATTAATTGAAAACGTACTTTGACTCATGGTTATACATTTATAAATTTACCTGACCACAAGGTTCTGTAGATGTTATATACACATGTACTTGGTAGGGCTAGTCTACCTGGCAAAAGATATTCAGATGGGTTTTTTTCTTTGCAAACACCTCATTATCATTTTTTATTCCCCGATGTCAAGCAATATCTGACATTGAGAAAATATAAACATATTTAGCATCTGAAGCGTGATTTATCATTTAAATGTCTTTTTTTCATTTTAAAACCTTAGAATTTTTTACCAGACTTACTTAGTCTAGTACTTTGTTGTAAAAAAAGTGTTCATATCGTTTTTTTTATTAATTTATTTTGGTTAAATAAAAAATCAATTGAAAGAAAAAAATTAAAAGAAAAACCCAAGGAACAAATGTGAAGCAAGTAATAAATGAATTAATTTTATTATATATCTGCATATATATCATATATGTGTTTGCTACACATACTTATCCTACATATTATTCACGCTATTTATAATTTTTGCGGCAAATACAATTCTTGCTACTGAAAAATGTTTATATTTTATTTTATACATCCCGACAAAAGCTAATCAAAGTTCCCTGCTGTAATTAGCACGACCATCGTGTAATCGGTGCGACACAGCAGCAAGCAATACCTCTTTTACCCAATGTCCGACTTTGTAACACCGTGTGTCCGAAGTTACAACACCACTGTCCGAAATTACAACCTCCTACCTGATACTGTTTAAATGCGTTTATTAATGATATTATATCACGAAAAGAGCCGATGTACCACGAAAATAAGTAGCGGAAGGTTTTCTGCATCGAACGGTGTATAGCATGCCTATATTTAGCGGTAAATGCCAAGTATTTCCGAAAAAGCATTCTGAAGTGTCCGAAATATCAACACTTTCCCCTACTAAACACTTATTTGACCTGATTCAAATTTGTCTGTAAATGTTCAAAACAATTGGATTTTTGTATAGCATATGCCTCGAAGTCATAAAGTCTGTACATAAGTAATTTAAAATACTCAATATTACCATTTAATTAAAAATTAAAACGTCAGGTAAATATCAGGTCTCTAGTATATCCCGTTTTCAGTGTGCCCCTTCGAGTCGACGTCGGACACATGTTTGTCATGGTTTACAAACTGAAAATAGAATGATTTGTGAAGTTGAACATTTTCTCACAAAGAATCCGTTTGTAGACATGCACACTCATTTAATCTGGAGCTACGAAGATTCAAGTACTTTGTCACTTCTCTGGAACATTATTCTAAGCAGAATTATCCCGATTCATATATTCTAAGAATCTTGTGTGAATTGTTTACGAGGAAATTCTGACTGTCACATTAACAAGGATGAACACTCTTGACTCTGCTTCGGATTCCCCAGTGATAATTGTATCGAGTGATGAAAGAGCTGACGGCGACATTTTAATGTATGATTGGCTTGGACCATTGGAATGAAGGTTAGAATATTTTTATTACTTAAAATTTACACTACTGATTACATGACAGTGACGTACATTGATGTTATTAGAAATACACAGACACACCGATATATTATCTGTTTTACAGTTCAGACGCTCTCTGTTTGCCTTGTAAATCCCCACAGCTTTATATTTTATTTTTTTTAAATTTGAGGATGTAATTTCAACAGTCCTACTATCTATCATAGTGATCATACTCTATAATTCAAACTGCACTTAATGTTACAGAATATATTCAACTAATTATATATTGACAGTGTGACTGTAAGGGTGAGGGCAGATACTTATTTAGTTTTAATTTAGATTGTGCTTGTCAAGCCGCATTTGACATTTGGTGCATCCATGCTCAATGTTCACACTGAGAGTTTATTCAAATGTTTAATTCGAATGAATTCACTGCTCGTTAAATTACTTCCCATTAGCTCCATGTGAACATGAGTAAGGATAGCTAATTCAAATTAAATAGAAATGAATTTTGAATGTAGCTTAAACATGTTAAAGAAGCTAAGCACTGTGTGTCCAAAGTATACTGCGGAAAAATTGTGTGGAGCAATGTGCAAGTCACAATCTTCTTTTGCCAAGGTGTTATCATAAGAGCTCGCATTATGGGCAGGGATTTGTGCTGCTGTCTGGACTCGCTATAAATAGATGTTCTCAAAAAGTCTTAATTATTTAATATCATACTTTACTGACAAAAAAGGACAAATATTGCTCAGTTAAATTGCAAAAGAAATTTGTTTAAAAAAATTGTAATAATAGAAAGTTTGCTTTTTTTGTTTGATAAGACTGCTGTAATGGTTTAATGTTTGTTTATTTGCCTTAATCATACATTTTTCAGTCATTTCATGGTGCCACCACTTGAGATGGTATTAGCTGCAAATATAGACTTGTACTCAGCACTTATTGCCTTTAAGAAGTATGAGATCCATTTTGTGCTAACACCTACCGTGACACAGAATCTTGGTTTATGCAGTCTCATAGAAGTAACCTGTCTAAAGCATTTAGCAATGGGATTGGAACCTGCGACGTAAGGTTCAGCTTCTTATTGATACTTTGATTTATAATATTTATTTGAGAATTTCACTCATTCACATACTTAGAGATGTTGATATATATTGTTGAATAGCATCAATTTAGACCTTTAATTAGCTAAGTAAACATGTACTGTGAGGTTTTTAAGGTCTCATTCATTTTATATGCCAGATGCATGTTAAGGAACATTACTGCATAAATGTTTTTGTCTTAAATTTGAAGCTTTTTACTAATATAGAGATATGTTAGTTTTAAACCTCTTCAAATTAGGGTAGACCTTTACTTTAAACTCAGCAATGTGAGTGTGTTGTGTGAACTTGTGTTAGCGAGACAGTGTGTTGTATGAATTTGTGTTAGCAAGGCAGTGTGTTTTGTGAACTTAATTGTGTTAGCCTGACAGTGGGTTGTGTGAATTCTTGTTAGCTTGACAATGTGTTGCGTAAACTCGTGTTAGCGGGACAGCGTGTTGTGTAAAATCGTGTATAAAGTGTAAGTGTGACAGTGTGTTGTGTAAACTCGTGTTAGCTAGACAGAGTGTTGATTGAACTCGTATTAGCGAGACTTCGTGTTGTGTAAACTGGTGTTAGTGAGACTGCGTGTTGTGTAAACTCGTGTTAGCGAGACTGCGTGTTGTGTAAACTCATGTTAGCGAGACAGCGTTTTGTGTGTATTCTTATTAACGAGACAGCATGTTGTGTGAATTCGTGTTAGCGTGACAGTGTGTTGTGTGAGCTTATTATCCTGAAAATTTGTCGTGTGAACTGGTGTTAGAGAGATAGTGTGTTGTGTGAACTCATGTTAGCAAGATTGCATATTGTGTGAACTCGTGTTAGCCAGACTGCGTGTAATGTGAACTCGTGTTAGCGATATTGCATGATTTTTGAATTTGTGTTAGCGTGACAGTGTGTTGTGTGAACTCGTGTTAGCCTGACAGTGTGTTGTGTGAAATGGTATTAGGATGACAGTGTGTTGTGTGAAATGGTATTAGGATGACAGTGTGTTATCGCAACAGCGTTTGGTGCATACTTGTGTTAGTGAATAGTGAGACAGCCTGTTTTGAGACTTCGTGTTAGCGTGACAGTGTGTTGTGTGAATTCTTGTTAGCCTGACAGTGTGTTGTGTGAAATGGTATTAGAATGACAGTGTGTTGTGTGAAATGGTATTAGGATGACAGTGTGTTATCGCAACAGCATTTGGTGTGAACTTGTGTTAGTGAATAGTGAGACAGCCTGTTTTGTGACTTTGTATTAGCGTGACAGTGTATTGTGTAAACTCGTGTTAGCGTGACAGTGTATTGTGTAAACGCGTGTTAGTGAGACTGCGTGTTGTGTAAACTCATGTTAGCGTGACAGTGTGTTGTGTGAATTCATCTAAGCGTGACAGTGTGTTGCGTGTACTTGTGTTAGCTAGACAGTGTGTTGTATGAACTCGTATTAGCGAGACTGCGTGTTGTGTAAAACTTGTGTTAGCGAGACAGCGTGTTGTGTGAACTTGTGTTAGCGAGACAGTGTGTTTGTGAATTCGTGTTAGCATGATAGTGTGAACTCGTGTTAGCCTGATATTTTGTTGTGTGAAATTGTATTAGCGTGACAGTGTGTTGTGTGTTAGTGTGACAGCGTGTGGTGCGAACTTGTGTTAGTGCGAAAGTGTTTTTCAGTGTTGTGATGGCGAGCTGTGTGATAGCCTAATGGCGTCTTTTGTGTCGGTAAGATGGCACGCTTTTATGAAAGTGCTATTGAGCTTTAGCAAGTGGCCCTATCTGGACACGCCTTATTATAATTGATCAGTTCTCAGATATACAGTGAATTACCGGTATTATTGTCACCATGAAATCAGCATTTACAGTTGCAATTACCTAGTTAGTAATCATAAGATATTGGTTTGTCAGTTTTAAAATTATGGTGTTCCAATGATGTGAAGTTGCAGTGTGTTAGCATGTTAATTTCAACAGACTGCCACTCCAATGCAGCTTTAAACAACATGCTGCTGTGTTAACACAAAACAAAATATCATGCAAACACAACTTTAAACAATCTGTTGAGTGTTAGCTTCACTGCATGTTGGATTCAGTGTGCTGGCATATTATCACTGACGTACATGCTAGCACATTGTCACCTCGTGCTAGTATGTTGTCATAAATACTCTAGCACATTATCCTAAACCCACTAGTGCATGATTACTTTGCACTTGTATGTTGTCTTATTAGGGAATAGCATAAATGACTGCCTTAACTGATGTAAACTTCTTTTAATTGATGAAAGAGTACATTAAAATTTACAAATTATACACAGAAAATGTGACAATATCTTATCTCTCAATTTGATAATCTTATTTATAATCTCATGAATTGCACTTTTTATTAGTAAAAGAATTATAGATTAAAAAATTTCAATTTCTTTTGGATAGGTGTGACTCATCTGAAGACTGAATTTTGATACCAAGCATGACCATGATTTGCCAGAAGATCATCTGTTTGGATGTGACATGGAATAAACAGCATTGTGAAAATAAGTCAAGTTTTGGTTTGTGAAGACAATTTTTAAACACACTGTGTATCATTTTTAAATTTTGATTTGACAACATAAATCCCCAAATATGAACATATCAATTGCTCTCAGTTTTTCAAGTGAAATAGTTTTTGTAACAGAAATACATGTACCAGTAATTACATTGGAATAAATGTTATTTTTAAATATAATAATATTTTGTTTGTGTAGCATGTTGACCTCTTTATTAAGGTCTTCCCTTTCAAAGTTTAGACTTACTTATTCTAATGATTAAGATAGATCCTCTGTCTTCAGCAGGAATAGAAGATCTTGTAATACATGTACGAGGGGTGTTAGAAAAGTTCGCGGACAAGTTTTATTGTGAGCGCGCTATTTCCACGAAACCGGTCAAACTTTGCAGATAAAATCTTTACCTTTTTTCCAATTAATATACAAGAATTTGGTGCTCTCCGATGATTATTGAAAAATATACAGCTTTTTTATTTTGATAAATCTTGCTTCACGGAGCATGCTACATTTTGGCACGTTTACATCACAAAGACTCTTCATTAAAATTAAAAATTGCACAATTGTACCGCAAAGAGTTTTCTGATATTTTACCTGCCGCTATAGTATTCATGAAACGTCACTGGGAGAAATTTTGAACTAAATTGGAGGGTTATATGACTGTTTTATAGCCGTTTTTAACTGATCAACGCTTAAAAACACAGCCAAAAATCGGAACGTCATTTAGCGTCATGGAGCACTGCACTATGTAAAAATTATGTATGCAGACTGGAAAATGTCTAAAAAGAGATTAAAATGTTCAAGATGCTGCCGGGAATATCCTACACCTACAAAGGACAAGTTTTCAAATGGTTGTAGCTTCATAAGAATGGAAGGATTAACATTTTGAATGATTACCTCCATCGATACTTCAATACCCCCGTATCGCATGGACGTTGCGTTGCGCCTATATGGTTTTGCATAGTTTCCATACCTGAGCGATTAACTGCATAGACTTTTTTTAAAGATCTCAATAATATCCGAATCAGTACAAAAGACATTATATAAAAGAAAAGTAATATGTCTTGATATAGATATTCAATTTTAAAGTAGAAAATAGATAAGAAAAATCTGAAGAAATGAAAGATTTATAGAACACTGCGACAAAACTTTACCGGTTGAAATCGGGTTGTCACGTCGCCTTACGTCAAGTGATTGCTCCGTGAATTCCATGACCTCATAGTAAAAATCGTTGTAAATTTTCAAGATTTTATTATATGGACCTGATTTTTTACATACCAATAAACAAAATGTAGGAATTTATTCAGACATAGGTCATACTTCACAGTACAAAATAGATTTTCCGTAATTCAAAGTGTCCGCGAACTTTTCTAACGACCCTCGTATGTGTATTTTTTACAGTATAATGTAAAAAAAATTGTTATTTTGGCACATACAACTAATTAAAGGCATAAACATGTGTATGATTCCAAGGAATTCAGTACATAGGGCATGTACATGTAGTTTTCTAAAACAAGATTGAAGAGATGTCCAGTCGCATTTCAATGTCAACTGCAAAACTGTGCCTGTTGCATACTTATTAGCCCATATGAGCTAAAGGAACCAGTAAATCTTTTTAAAAACATAATTTTATCCATTATCATCGTTGTCTAAAATTTCACAATATCATTTTCCAGAACCAAAGTGAAACTTGGCACAGAGCATCCTTAGTGTAGGGGATTCAAATTGTTCTTATGCAGGGCAATACCTTCAAAGAGATTTGTTTCTTTAATGCTGTAAATGTATTATATTTAGCTTGTACAATATTTGGTGGAAATTGACTTTTGAATAAGTTAGCGTAGATATTCTTATTTATGTTTATGTACAAGACTTTTAGCTTTGTACTTGATTTAGTGATTGCTGCATTCCGCCAAAGCCGCTAAAAAAGAATACACAGCCATATGTAATGTGTTTACAATATACCTTTCAGAGAATTTTACACTCCTATTGAGGTACCACCAGTTGCTAGTGGAAAGCTGCAAATTCGAAACATACACAACACATTTCTGTGCGTTTATTATAAAAGTATTGTTCTACTTACTGATTGCAACTAATGAAGATTGTTCATCATTATTGTAAATACATTTGGATTTTTTGAATTATTATATAATTTGTTTATTTTATTTACTAAGTTATATTGTATATTAAATGATTTTAAAGCCATTTTTAAGATGGAAATGTAGCAAAACACTTATGTTTCTGTAGTATGACACGTTTCACAAACATAATTGCAACAAACATGATATATCCGATATCAAAAGTCATAATATTGGAAGTTAAACTGTTGTGGATACGATTTCAAGAATGCTGTTAGAGAGAGTACCCTTTAGACCTCATGCTCACACCAAATTAAAGAATTCAAGTAAGGGTTTCTGAGACAAATCGAAAAAGAGAATGTTAGCAAAGTTGACAATCTAGACAGAAACATTTAATCTTTTGCTTATCGCTAGGAAGGAAGACCCACTCGTTGCTTTGCAACGAGCTTTGCTCTAGTTATTATTATTATTTTTCTTCCTGGGAAAATCTTTTCCGCGAGTGATCTTGTAAACTACACATCCGACTTAAGTGAAACCTTTTTAGGGTAAGTGGGCATGTTATGTAGATTTGCGGAATCAAGGTCATTTTGCGTGCACGTGCTTGCAAGAGCGCGCTCGTGCAAAACTTAAAATGACCAATATATAATGGATATAACCGTAACTTTTCTATTTTGTGACGAAATGTTTTGAAACTTATAATGTAAGGATATATTAGTAGTATGCACAAGATGATATGGTCAAAACAGCAAGATCGCACGCGCATGCACGTGCACTTCGCTTTTATTAGCTGAAACTAAAGTCTCAATATCTTTTTTGTTTTTTGATAAAATCATTTGAAATTTTGAACATAGTCATACATTAGGGAGATCTACAGCCTGTAATATAAGATTTATCATGAAAGCATGTGCATGCACATGTGCTTGCAAGAGCTCGCACGTGCAACACGAGAAATGTCCAATATAATTGATACAGACGTAACTATTTAAATTATTGATGAAATGCTTTGAAATTCATATTATAAGTATATATTAGAAGGATAGACAAAATGACATGGTCAAAAAAGTAAGATCTCACGCGCATGCACGTGCGCTTCGCTCTGATTGGCTGAAACTAAAGTCTCAATATCTTTCTTGTTTCTTGTCATAATCCTTTGAAATTTTGAACATAAACCTACATTATGAAAATCTACAGCATGATATATAAGAATTTTCATGAAAGCATGCGCATGCCCGCGTGCTGCAATCTGATTGGCTGAAACTTTAAATGGCTATATCTCCTTTGTTTTTAGACGAAATGCTTTGAAATCTAAAACATAGTCATGCATTGGGATATACTACAATATGATGTAGAAAAAAATCATGAAATCACGCGCATGCACGTGTGCTGCAATCCGATTGGCTTGAACTTGAAATGGCTATAACTTCCTTGTTTTTCAACCAAACAGGATGGGATTAAGAATATAGATAGATATAAGGGACTCCTACAAGAAGGTATGGTCATCATGCACGTGCACGCACGTGCGTTTATTTGGAACGAGTGAAACTAAAAATACGTTTGAAAGAGTGATTTTTCATACTTTTGGAATGAATGCTTTAATATATTGTATATTAAGATATGTAGATAGTGTAGACAAGATGATATGATCATAACGCACATGCATTCACATGCGCACATGTGCAATGCTAAAATTTGAATATAATTGGTATCCTTCTGAGAAAACGTTGTTAAAGTCAAAAATGCGCAGAGTTTGTCTTTTTTAATGAAGCTTACAGGGAATATTGCACCAAAAAGGAGTTGGGGAGCGTTTGGGGAACATCTGTAACGGTTCCCGTTACAATTAGCACTAGTTATTATTTTTCTTCCTGGGAAATTTTTTGTCCGCGAGTGATCTCGTAAACTACACATCCGACTAAGGTAAAATGTTTTTAGGGTCAGTAGACATGTTATGTAGATTTGCCAAACAAAGGTCATTTTGCGCGCACGTGCTTGCAAGAGCACGCACGTGCAACAGTGAAATGACCGATTTAATTGATATAGGCGTAACTTTTTTTAATTTTTGATGAAATGCTTTGAAACTCATAATGTAAGGATATATTAGTTATATAGACAAGATGACATGGTCAAAATAGCAAGATCTCACGCGCATGCACGTGCGCTGCAATCTGATTGGCTGACACTAAATTCTCAATATCTTTCTTGTTTTTTGACGAAATCCTTTGAAATTTTGAACATAGCCACGCATTAGGATATCCTATAACATGATATATAGAAATTATCATGAAAACACGTGCATGCATGTGCGCTGCAATCTGATTGGCTGAAACTTTAAATGGCTATATCTCCTTTGTTTTTGAAGAAATGGTTTTAAATTTAAAACAAAATCATGCATTAGAATATCCTACAATATGATATAGAGAAATTTTCAAAAAATCACGCGATTGCATGTGCGCTGCAATCTGATTGGCTGAAACTTTAAATGGCTATATCTCCTTTGTTTTTTGAAGAAATGGTTTGAAATTTAAAGCATAGTCATGCATTAGGATAACCTACAATATTGCAGAAAAAAAATTCATGAAATCACGCGATTGCACGTGTGCTGCAATCTGATTGGCTGAAACTTTAAACGGCTTTATCTCCTTTGTTTTTTGACGAAATGGTTTGAAATTTAAAACACGGTCATGCATTAGGATATCCTACAATTTTGCTTTGAAAAATTTTCATAAAATTACGCGATTGCACGTGTGCTGCAATCCGATTGGCTGAAACTTTAAATGGCTATTACTCCCTTGGTTTTCATCCAAACAGGATGGGATTTAGAACATAGATATATATTAGGGACTCCTACAAGAAGGTATGATCATCTTGCAAATGCACACAGTTTGTCTTTTTTAATGAAGCTTACAGGGAATATGGCACCAAAAGGGAGTTGGGGAGCGTTTGGGGAACATCTGTAACGGTCTCCGTTACAATTAGCACTAGTTTTACACTTGGTTGATTTTTACCTGTTCTACAACTTTTG